CTGTGACCCTGGGAAGTATCTGTGATCTTGAGAAGTATCTGTGACCCCGGGAAGTATCTGTGATCTTGGGAAGTATCTGTGACCCCGGGAAGTATCTGTGATCTTGAGAAGTATCTGTGACCCCGGGAAGTATCTGTGATCTTGAGAAGTATCTGTGACTCTGGGAAGTATCTGTGACCCCAGGAAGAATCTGTCACCCCGGGAAGTATCTGTGACCCCGGGAAGTATCTGTGACCCCAGGAAGTATCTGTGACCCCCCAGCAAGAATCTGTGACCCCCGGGAAGTATCTGTGATTCCAGGAAGTATCTGTGACCCCAGGAAGTATCTGTGACCCTGGGAAGTATCTGTGACCCCAGGAAGTATCTGTGACCCCGGGAAGTATCTGTGGCTAGATGCAGAGGGGGAGCCCTGTCTACAGCACTGGAGAAAGAAGGAGACATGGAGAAAACAAAAGGCACTGTGCGCAGGCGTACTGCATGGCTGTCTAGAGCAGAGCCTGGTGTCTTGCTTGGTGTGGGAGTGGATCCTGGGCTCTGGTTAGCTGGGCACTGCTGCCACAACAGGGGAGTAGGCAGAGCATAAACCTAATTAGTCTTCATCAATAAAAATATTGGGACTCAAATATTGGGGTTAAAGCTGAGAGATCAGAGACGCAGCAGCCACCAGAGACTTCTTACCTCTCCGAATCCTCAGACCCCTCCCTGTATCCACCCAGTATTGTCACTTCCTGTCTCCTCTCTGTACAGACCTCCAGACCTTTATGGTTAATTCATGACTAGCTCTGTCCTCTCTCTCCAAGCCAGCTTTATTTGTCAGAACACAGACAAAATATCACAACATAGGACTGAGTCCCCAGATCCTGGTCTGGCCTTTTTCTGTACAGGATGGCTGTGCCTTAGCTGGGTGGGATTTTCTGGTCAGTGGCTCCGCAGATTCTACAGTCAAGGGTGGCTGACCCATCAGGCCACTCAAATGTCAACAGTAGAATGTGTTCTAGAGCCTCTGAGAGACATCAAGACACAGATTCCCAGGTGATCACAAACTGCCGACCTGGGTCTCTGTGGGATTCATCAGTAGCAAGAGGGTGAGGGCAGTCTCTACAGTCCGTCCTTCAAATGGGTCTGGGCTCTCTGGAAAGGGGTGGGAAGTGGTTGGAGGATCTCACTGTTACCTGAAGACAGTCATGGAGCCTTTGCTCAGACTGGTTCTGGCTGTGCCTCACCGAGGAAGAACTCCGAGTGCAGGCAAGCTCCCCGTTTCCTTAGGAGGCCGTTTGTTTAGCCGGGTTAAGCGATGTCTGCTGCACATTGTGGTCGATAGTCAGCCCTGGGGTTTCAGGAACTCTGGAATACATACTAAGAGGAAACTTCTTCCCAAGCTGAGGTGGCACTGATGCAATCTGCTAAAGGGAAAAGGAGGAAGCGTGAGGTATACCCATTCCTAGAGCACAAGAATCCCAGAATTCCTAAAGGAAGCAATAATCTCCATCCTTGAATACTCATGTTTCATTTTCCTGCAGGAAATTAATAGAATCAATGAACATTTATTTGGTGCCGCTTTTAGATTTCAAACATAAATGCCGAGGAAACTAACAGCGGCGGCTCGCAGGAGCGCTTTCCCTAAGAGCTAGCCATGCTTAGACTTCCCAGTTAGAAGTCTCTTCAGCGTCTCCGCAAGGGGGTTACTGAAGAAAGCCTGTGAAGCTCGCAGTCCCTGCTTTGGGCCCTGGCAGAGCAGTGACCTGGTCGTTACACCACCTGGCATCCTGAGGTTAAAAGGCTTCTTCTTTGAGGTCCATAGAAAGTACTGGGTCTCTCACTCTTCCTTCAGTGAGCTCTTGTCTGCCCACAGCTTTAAGACCACAACTAAAGTCCCATGTGGGTGCTGTTCTCACTGTTGCGGTTTTATTGGTTTGTTTCCCATTTTGACATTAAGCTGGTGTCATCTGAGAAGGGGGGAGCCTTAGCCAAGAAGACACTTCCATGAGATTGACCTGCCTACAGGTGTGTGGACGTTGTCTTGATTGATGGCTGACAGGGGAGCGCCCAGCCTACTGTAGTTGTACCACCACTGAGAAGGTGTTCCTGGGGTGTATATGAAAGCAAACTGAGCCAGTCAGAAAGAACAAGACAGCAGAAAATGTTCCTCCATGGCCTTTGCTTCAGTTCCACCTCTAGTTCCGGGGTTGAATTACTGCCCTGACTTCCCTCATTGACGCAGGTGTGACCCAGGAGTTGTAGAATGAACTAAACCTGTCCCTCCCTGTCTTAGTCACTGTTCTATTGCTGTGAAGAGACACCATGCCCACGGCAACTCTTATTTTTTTTTAAAAAAGCATTTAATTGGGCTGGCTTAGAGCTTCAGAGGGTCAGTCCATTGTCCATCACGACAGGGAGCGTGGTGGCATGCCGGCAGACATGGTGCTAGAGAAGGAGCTGAGAGTTCTTCACCGGCTCAGTCAGCACAGGGAGACGTGCCAGGCCTGGCCTGGACTTTCGAAATCTCAGACACCCCCAGTGTCATACTTCTGTCAACTAGGCCAGCTCCTAATCCTCAAATAGTTCCACTCCCTGATGGCATTCAAAGAGATGAGCCTATGGGAGCCATTCTTATCCAAACCTCTACACTCCCAAAGTTGCTTTTGGCCGGGCTTTATTACAGTAGTAGAAACCCTAGGACAGGTGTTAACTACAGGTGGGGTGACGCCTGAGACTTGGACTGTCCCTATCTAACCTGGGGAGCAGGTGGAGTGATGCCTGATACTTGGACTGTCCCTGTCTAACCTGGAAAGCTTGACCACAGGTCAGTTGTCTTTCACAGTCAGATCAGCTTCCAGAGCTTACTGTTCTCTCCTCCCATCCAAGTGTAGGTCTGTAGGGCTGTGTCTGTCAGTCCAGGCAGGAGCCAAGACCTGGGACAATAAGCGCATCCTAGCTTTTGGCCGTGAGATCACACCCAAAACTCTTTTCACCTTAGAGATCGGCCAATTTTGTTGATAGCTCTCGAAGATCATCTCTTGCAGACTTCCATGTTTTCCATTTTCAACATCCCCCCTTGACAGAGATGAGGAGAGTCCTCCCCAGGACTCGATTGATCAAAACATTGATGCTGCCAACCAATTCCCAACCTGAAGAGCAGCTAAGGACACTGGATCTGACTTGCCAAAGGGAAACTAGACCTCTTGGGGGGATTCCATAGCCACTGAGGTCCCTGGAAGATCTAGATGGACTCCGAGGAGCAGAAACAGCAGCTATTAGAAGCTGCTTTCAGGGTCAGTTGCCAACCCCAAAACAGAGTCCTGGGAAGTTTGAGAAACCAATGGAGAAAGAGACTAAAAGCAAAGACAACACCAGAAGCTGTCCATCGCACACAAGTCATTTGGGGTAACTATAGACAGGATGATGGAGTTGAAGGCCTCTAAAACATCTCCAGAAAATTAGACAGAACGCATTAAAGCATCGCTTTCTGTGTTGCTCCAGCTCACCTTGTCTATTGTCGTTTGCTGGGGATTACTCTGACTAAGGGTGGCTTCAGGGCTCTATACTGTTAGCCTCTTGGATCCTCACAGCTTCCTAAACGGAAGTTTAGAGATGTTTCAGGGCTAGGATGATGATGCAAGGTTGTTTCCAGGGTTCCTGTGTTTGTGTGTGCACAGGCGCGCCGGCATGTGGAAACCAGAGGACAGCTTCAGGTATCCTCCTCAGGCATGCTGTCTGCCTCTGTTGAGACAGGCTCTCTCATTAGAGAGTTCACCATGTTAGGCTAGACTGGGACTCTCTCCTCTTTCCACCTCTGGAGCCCCAGCATCCAAGTACATGCCTACCATGTATGGTGTTATTACTCATGTGGGTGCTCAGCCTCAGGTTCTCACAATTGTGGCGTAAGTGCTTCACTGACTGGGGAGTGGTAACCCCCTGCCCCACATTAGAATACCTTGCTAGCCTAGTCTTGCTCTATTGTCGGTTTTCAGAAATAATAACCCATTTAAATATTCAACCCATTTAATATTTAAAACCATGTATCCCACAAGGCTAGTCTTTCCAGGAACCAGGTAAGCTACAAGAGCCTTGTCTCCATTATTGGTGGTCATGTCAGTTACCAAGGCTGTGGAATTCACTCGCTTGGTTCATCTTTGGCAGAAATGACGGAGGACACAGCGCTTTGGGAACGGTCTAAGAACAACTGGGTAGAAGGATGCTTTCGGGAGACAGGGTCTTCCTAGGAAGCTCTGGCTGTCCTGGAACTCTGTGTGAGCCAGGCTGGAGTCAGACTCACAGAAATGTGCCTGCTTCAGCCTCCAGAGTCCCTAGATTAAAGGGTGTGGCACTGGGTGCAACATGGGGTGTTTCTTACTTGTCTTGTACAGTGGGTAGAACACCGGGTGACACTCTGGACCTAGCCTGTCTGTCTAACATGTGCCCACAAGAATCTTTAGTGTTAATTAGCAAGTGAAGCTCAAATCCAGTTCCACAGCGAGTGCCAGCTCTGTCTTAAGGACTCAGTGACCACGTATGACTGGCAGCTTCTTGGCCAACCAGCATCGTTCTGGGCTGGCATCCTGGGCTTTGCTGTCTTATAATGGGTCCAAGATTTCAAATACTAATTATTACACATGAAATGGTACATGTAAAATTGCTCTCTGCATATAATAGGATACCATATTCAACACTTAAAGCATCATTGCAACATAGTGAAATCAGGTTTTTGCACTACTAAGTCCATGGCTCTGGGATCTTATTGCATTAAATGTTTGTCAGAAGATAGACAAGGCATCTAAAGTTGATGTTTTTTGCTTTTTTTTTTTGTTTTTGTTTGTTTGTTTGATTTTTTTTTTTTCTTTTGAGACAGGGTTTCTCTGTCCTGGAACCCACTCTATAGACCAGGCTGGCCTCGAACTCCCAGAGATCTGCCTCCCTCTGTCTCCTGAGTGCCAGGATTAAAGGTGTGCACCTGCTTTGTTCTTTAGGACAGAAGAATATTCCGCATTCCGCACCACTGGCAATTTCTCTGCACATAGGAGTTACTCTCAAAGGTACGTAAGATGTGATATTCCTATCTGAAAGTAATAGGGAAAAAATTGCAGAGGAGCTGATTAATAAGTCAATCTCCCCAGAGAATAAGCATGAGGTAGACTTGGGCCTGCAAAAGCCAGTGTATTAACTATCCAAAGCCTTAGTGGCCAACCTACTTCTCACTCAGAGAGGGTGGGACCGCACGGTAATGGTCCCATTTCTTGTGCTCCAGTTGGTTTCTTTTAGGGATCCCCTGACATCCACTGGTAGTGACACATGTCTGTCTGTGTAATGGGGAAGAACCTGAAGAATGTCCTGGTGGTTTCCTGTGGATTCTTCCTTCTCTTCACAGCCTATGGAGGCCTGCAGAACCTGCAGGTGAGATATATTTATCATGTTATCCGATTCATACTGGTACAACTCACACATTCCCACACTCCCTGGCACAACCCACACTCTCCCGCATCCCTGGCACAACCCACACATTCCCGCATCCCTGGCATAACCCACACTCTCCTGCATCCCTGGTACACCCCACACATTCCCGCATCCCTGGTACACCCCACACATTCCCGCATCCCTGGCACAACCCACACTCTCCCGCACTCCCTGGTACACCCCACACTCTCCCGCATCCCTGGTACACCCCACACTCTCCCGCATCCCTGGTACACCCCACACTCTCCCGCATCCCTGGCACAGCCCACACTCTCACACTCCCTGGCACACCCCACACATTCCCGCATCCCTGGTACACCCCACACATTCCCGCATCCCTGGTATACCCCACACTCTCCCGCATCCCTGGCACAGCCCACACTGTCCCGCATCCCTGGCACAACCCACACATTCCCGCATCCCTGGCACAGCCCACACATTCCCGCATCCCTGGTATACCCCACACATTCCCGCATCCCTGGCACAACCCACACATTCCCGCATCCCTGGTACACCCCACACATTCCCGCATCCCTGGTACACCCCACACATTCCCGCATCCCTGGCACAGCCCACACTCTCCCGCATCCCTGGTACACCCCACACATTCCCGCATCCCTGGTACACCCCACACATTCCCGCATCCCTGGTATACCCCACACATTCCCGCATCCCTGGCACAACCCACACATTCCCGCATCCCTGGCACAACCGACATCTCCCGCACTTCCTTGCACATTCTTTCTTTTTTCCAAATGAAGCCCTACGAGGTGCAGTCTTGTTCCCACAGAGAGATACCAGAGCTCCACAACCCGGGTGTGTGATCCTGGGGCAAGGAGGAGGCTCAGGACACTTTGCCTTTGAAAGGAAAAAAAGAGATAAGGGAAACTATTGTGGATTTTATGTGCTCTGGGCTTTGTGGTTGGGCAGAAATGTCAGTTTGCTAATCCTCACTCGACCTTATGAGAAGCTTTAGGCAAAACTATGAACTTTGACAAAATCATCTGCATTTTGAACACTTATGGAATCCTTCTTGCTCAAGTCCGCGAGTCTGCTTGAAAACCATGCAGCTGCCTCCAACAGGTTGGGCTCAGGGGTCATGTGCATCTAGGTCATATGGGCCCGGATCCTTTGGGGCGGGGGAGGATTTGACAACTTTTCCTGTGTCAATTACAGTAAAAGGGATATGTCTGTCTGTCCATCTGTCCGTCTGTCCGTCCATCCATCCATTGTTTGCCTTCCTCCCTTCCTTCCCTTTCTTCTTCTCTCTTTCTTCCTTCCTGCTGTTCTTCCATTCTTTCTTCTTCTTCTTCTTCTTCTTTTTTTTTTAAGATGGGGTTTCATGTAGTACTGGCAGCACCAGCTCCATGCTGATGCCTGCTCTCTGGTTTCTGATAGCTCCTGTGTTCACCAGCTGAAGATGGTGGATGTTGTGTCTCCACAGTCTTGCATGGCCCTCTAGTGGAAAGCATTCCCAAGCCTCTCCTCGGCCTGATTGAGAGACTGCTGTATGTTGATGCGATCAGGTCTACTCCATGCAATCTCCATGTGCTTGTCTTTATATGTCTACTGCACAGACGAGCTTGTCTAGCAGATGCCAGCCTAAGCATTGGAGTGTGGGCACTCATGTGGAAAAGGCCATTAGCTTCTGAAATTCTGGCTCTTCTTAGATACTGACCCATCTTCCTTTCCAGTGGTCTGCAGTCAAAAGCAATTGTCAGTCACAAAAGTCTCTCCCTAATTTGTTGTAGTAATGTGGGCAACAGAGAAATCCCAACATTGACAGACGCTGTTAGAGTCTCACTAGAATTGTGGAGGAAGCAGGCAAGCTCACAGCTGTGAGTGAAACACCCAGGACAAAACTGTAAAAGGACCTGGCTGGACCATACTTCTAGCTACTCCATAAACACCAAGTACCCAGACAACTCCACTTCAGAGGATGGTGCTTGACTCCTTCTTTTAGACAGATTGTAGAGGTTTTAGGGATGGGCTAGAGGAAGTCTGTTGAGTGCAGTGGGCACAGAACATGGGGGAGGGCAGGTAGCATGCTAGGGGAGTATCTCTGTCTCTTTCCCCTCCTCCCCTTCCTATACTCTTTTTGTCATTCTTCTTCCCTCCTCTTCGCCTCCTCCCTTTCCTCCTCCTCCCCTTCCTCCTTCTCCTTCCTCTCCTTCCCTTCTGTTCTTCCTCTTGCCATTCTCTTCCTCCTCCTCTTCCCCATCTTCTTTCTCCTTCCCTTCCTCCCCCTCCCCTTCCTCTTCCTCCTTCTTCTCTTCCTCCCCTCCCTCATCCTCCTCTCATTCACTTTCTCTTACAAGTGGCAGAAGAAGAAAGAGTTCTTCTGGTTTCTTTGGCCACAAATCCAGTAGTGCCTGCCCTTCAGAGGTCTGGGTCAATTCACATCAGTGTTATGCGGGGCACTCCTGTGGAATAACAGCGAGTCATTGTATAGCACAGGGCTCTGGATGGTAGGCACTGCCTCTGCTTTGTCGGGGGTCTTCCCCGCAGCTCACCTTAGCCTTGAGACCAAGCAAAAGTACAGTTGAAGAGCTCACAGTGGCCATTTCTGAGTCCTGGCGGCATCCTTCCTGGTAGTCTGGGAAGCTGGCTTTATTTCCACTGCAGTAGTGCCCCTTATGTAAGAAGGCTGGTATCTGGTAACTCAGGGTTTGAGGGGCCTGAGCCTGGGGCCAGTACCCGCACAGTCCCCTCCTCTGATGGCTGGCCTTTCTTCCACAGAGCAGCCTCTACAATGAGGATGGCCTGGGCGTGGCGACCCTCAGCACCATCTACTGTACTATGATGCTGTCCTCCATGTTCCTCCCACCTGTCCTCATCAAGAAGTTTGGCTGCAAGTGGACCATGGCGGGCTCTATGTGCTGCTACATGACCTTCTCCCTGGCCAACTTCTACCCCAACTGGTGTGTGTGCCTTGCGCTCTCATGCAGATGGCTGTCCTCTGTGACTGAGTTAGAATATGTCCTTCTGAGCACCATGACAGTATGACACCTTCTCAATCTTCCCTGTGTCCCCACCGACTTCCTCCCATACTCCTGACCCCAGTGCTGACCTCTTCTTGGGATTTCCCCAACTCCCTCACAACCCCCTGCCCTCACCACATCCTCATGGCCCAAATGGTTAGGAAGTCTGATATAGGTAATTCTCAGGGACTCAGCCAGCAGGGACAGACATTCATCTTTTGAGTGTGGACCACATTGGCCTCTTTGGGCACACCCTGATCCCTCTCCATCTTGCTGGGCCTCTGTGTGGATGCATACTGATCCCTTCCTCCATTCTGCTGGGTCTTTTTGCAGGTACACCTTGATCCCTACTTCCGTCTTGCTGGGCCTGGGCGCAGCTCCTCTGTGGTCGGCCCAGTGTACCTACATCACCATCATGGGAAATCTGCAAGCACAGAAAGAGGGGAAGCTGGCCAAGGATGTGGTGAACCAGTACTTTGGCCTCTTCTTTCTTATCTTCCAGTCCTCTGGAATGTGGGGCAACCTCATTTCCTCACTGGTGTTCAGCCAGATGCCCAGTAAAGGTAAGCGTGGGGGCTGCGTAGCCTTGGGAATAGCCCGGTCTCCATGACAGCAAAGTGAGGTCCAATTCCACTCCCATACCTGTCCTTACTGTGGAGGCAGGCCATCCTACCCCTCTGCGGACAGTCGAGAGGCTAAGTCTCTGTCTTCTCCACAGGTACGCTGTGGAGATTGGGGAAACCCTGGGGAAAGGGTGTCATGAGGAAATTGGGCATCCCCGAATCCTGCTAGTGTGATGTGGGTCCCTGGAGTTGCTGAGAATTTACGTGACTTATTTCCCTATAAAACTGAGCCACAGGCCACTGTTAAAACCACCTGTCAGACTCCTTATCCCACAACTGGGAGAATGTTCCAGCGCTGCCTTCCCTCAACCCCACCCAGCAGGGACCCCAGGCTGGAGGACTTCCAGCCTTCAATTCTTGTGGCAGAGCCTTCCGGAAGGGGCAGTCTGGGTGAGGATGGCCTCTCTCCCTCCATCCTGGCATGAGTCTGGCTCGGCCCAAGCCACGTGCTGGCAGGAAGCTCAGAAGTCACCACCTTCCTCCCTCCACAGTGACAGTGTGTCTCAGGCAGGAACGATGCAGGGCAACACATGTGGTCACAGTCACTGCCACTCAGCCAAGATGCTGCAGAAACTGATGTCAAACCCAGCCTCTGCGTCACAGCAGGGAAGGGCCGTGGGCTGCTCCCTGAGTAGAGAACTGATCAATCCCCCCATTGGCATTGCCCAGAGACTAATCTATCCTAGATGACAGTCCCTCACGCCTCACAGATGTGCCCAGAGGCTGTCTCCTATGTGACTCTAGATCCAGCAAGGGACCAACACTAATGTCACAGTAGCTTCAATTTACATGTGTGTGCGTGTTAGGTAGGTAGTCACCGCCAAACCAACCACTTCATTCCACATCTATTTATTTTTATTTTATGGGTAGGGGTGTTTTTTTTTTCTTCATGCATGTATATGCACCATATGCAAGCAGGTGCCAGAGAGGGCACTATATTCTTTGGAACTGGAGTTACATGCAGTTGCCCGCCAGCGTTGGGTGCTGGGAACCAAACCTGGGTCCTCTACACAAGCAGCCAGTGCTACCCGCTGGACCATCTCTCCAGTCCTGCACTGGTTGTTTTGCTTTTTGTTTTTGTTTTTTAGCAAATAAAAGAACTAGCATTCGTTTCCTGAAGCAGAAAAGACAAAGTCACCTGCCCCAGGTGACTACCACCCTTTCACCGCCGATTTTGGTCTCAGTATACTACTTAGTCCCTAGAATTCTCACCTCATCTTGATTTCAACTTCTCTAGTGGCCATCCCAGAGGATCAGCTCAAGTCCTGTGGAGCCAAAGACTGTCTAATGGACACAGAGGTCAGCAATAGCACCTACCACCCCTCCCACCATCTAACCTACACACTCCTGGGTATCTTCAACGGTACGTACAGATGCCCAACCTCTAACTGTGGTTCTCCAGCCCATAAGTGAACTTTGTCCATGGAAAACCCTGCCACACTTACCTGGTCGAAGAGATGCTATGATCACGATGGTGGTTTTCTCAGGGTAGTGCTTGTTCATTGCACTGTGTCTCACCCCTGTGATTTCCCCAAATTAATTTGTGATAGTGGGGGACTATGTCTGTGCTTGCTTTAATAAATAAAGCAAAAAACCCCAGCCAATTGTAGGACTGGGCCAATCTCAATGGCTGACCTCTAAAAGCAAACTCAGCGGCCAGTGTTGCCCAATCAAGCTATCTGTGGCTGTGCAATATGGGGGTGCACAGATCTAAAATGAGGGTGTGGGTAGAAAAGGGAGTAAAAAGGAGGAGCCAGGGAGGCACCCCATGTAACTTCTGTCTTCCTGCTGTCCTTGGTCATCCTCAACCCCTAGACATTTGTTCATCAGATATCCTATTTATATCCACGTGGTGATGGGGACAACGGGGTCACCAGGCTTGTGGTTACTCAATATCTACCCCCATCCCCTTTCTGCAGTGGGGTCCAGACACCCATGGAAAGCACTGGGCTATAGTGATTGCCCTGTCCCCCCTCCCCCACTTCTAGACAGCCACAGAGAACCTGGGTGTACGAAATGGCGGTGCTCGTCAGCCGAAGTGGCAGGCTTTCTGGTCGGCAGGGTCAGGCAATAGAGAAGTTAGGCTTTGAGCGTCACGTGACCTCGCTGCATCACTCACTGTTGTCTTTGCAGTGGGGGGAAAGGTCACAGGTAGCACTGGTGAATAACTGGAGTCATCAGTGCTGCTCAGTAGAACTTTATATGCCTGGAGAATTCTGTCATCCAAGTAGCCGGTCAGCTGGCTTAGATAAGGAGACCATGGCCCAGGCTGGGTGGAGCCATTACCCTATTCTGATACCTGGAAATCTGCTATGAGTCTCTTTTAAGTATGCTACCATAAACAAATAAGACAGGACAAAGTGGGCAGTAATGCCCGAGTGCCCTCCCCCTGGGGTGATGGTCTGGGGCTCTGGGAATTGCATTCACAATAAAGTGCTTGGAGTGTGCCTTCAGAATATAGCATCTCAGTTCCACGACACCACTTCACGCCTCCGAAGGCTCAGGGCCACTTGGCATCAGATACACACACCTCTGAGGATGTGACTTCTAAGACCAAGCCCCTCCGAACTCACAGGCTCTCCCTGCTTCTTGTTAGAGACCGTGTCCAAACACCCCAAACTTAGAAGTCTTTTGCAGCAGGGTAGGCCATGGAGAAGGAGCCACCCACGTCAGTGAGGAAGAGACACAAGTTTTCTACCATTTTTCCACAGCCAACATTGGGATGATTGGAAGGACAGAGTGCTTCCCTGTACAGACACCTACCTGTTCATGTAAATGGTCACTGCGATGCTATGGGCCTTGCACTGCGATCCTTTGAGGCCTTGTGGTTCTTCCACAGCGGAACACAGCTCCAGGCCCCCGACAGGAGATGCCCAGCCTCATAGAACCTAATAAACACAGCTGAAATGGAGCAGTTAGGTGATTCAGGAAGGGTGTTGAGTCAGGAGGGAAAGCCTTGAGGGGATCCGGACTTTCCTAGGTGTAAGTGTGTTAAAGAGGGGATTACTATGCTAGGTGCTGAGACGGGTGGGCCACCTCTGCCAACATCTGTGAAGACAGCTGGCTTCGTCAAGCCCGTGGCTCAGCAAGGCTGGGCCACAGTTTCACAGGAATGAGCCTCTGAAAGGAAGGGACTGCAGGACCCACGCTCACTGACTGAAGCTCACACCCAGAGTTTGGGCATTTCCATCCCGAGGGAACTACCCTTGTCAGAAAGTGGAATGGCAGTGCTCAGGAGATGTTACAAATGGCACCTCACATGGCTCAGGGACAGAGGGACCTCTGTGTGTCACAACACCCACAAAAACCTGTTTCCTGTACAGGGGATGGAGGGGACTGGAAAACTGCAGTGGGCAGATGGCAAAGACGCACTCAGCTACTCGCTGCGTTTTGGGATTAGAGATGTACAGAATGTTCAGGGTGAAATAGTTTTCGGTTCTTATTTTCTTTTTTTCACAGATAACCCATTAATATGGCTCAAAGTACAAATGCATAGAGCACAATTAATAAAAACCCAGACACAGAAATTGGAGTCCAACCTGAAAGTCAGAAAAGCGAAACAGTCAGCCCCTAGCTCTTAACTTAATCTCTGTCCGAAATGACAATCCTTCCTCCAGGAATCTCAGAATGAGACTGTGTGCGTGAGCTGTCTCCTCCCGTCTTATATTCCTCTCTAGGCCTGGGATTTAAGATGGGCGTTACCACTGCCTGTAAGGCTGACCAGTGGGGCTGTTTTACTCTCCGATCTTCAGGCAGGCTTTATTTATTAAAATACACTGCGTATCATCACAAATGCAGTCAAAGGTCCCAGGGCCCGTGGAACCCTCTGCTGATTGTCCCCTCTAAGCCCACCCCTCTCTAAGGCCTGTCCCTAAACAGCACGGGTCTGCTGGGGCCTTCAGGGTGTTTAATGCACAATAGATTTCTATGTCCCCCCTCTTTGACTGACACATAGCTTTGTGCCTTGCTGTGTTTTCCTTTCATCATCTGGTTTGGGGAACTTTTGTTTTTTATCATCTTAAAAAGCGTGTTGTTCCTCTGTAGGTGTTGGCAATGCTGACCCACTGTGTGTGGGTGTTGGCAATGCTGACCCACTGTGTGTTTGTGTTGGCAATGCTGACCCACTGTGTGTGGGTGATGGCCATGCTGACCCACTGTGTGTGGGTAATGGCTATGTTGACCCACTGTGTGTGGGTGATGGCCATGCTGACCCACTGTGTGTGGGTGATGGCCATGCTGACCCACTGTGTGTGGGTGATGATCATTCTGACCCACTGTGTGTGGGTGATGGCCATGCTGACCCACTGTGTGTGGGTGATGGCCTTTCTGACCCTCTGCATGTGGGATATGACCATGCTGACCCACTGTGTGGGTGTTGGCCATGCTGACCCACCATGGCGGACTTTAACTGAAAACTAGTCACAAGTTAATCGTAGGGCTAACACATATGTGGTCAAGTGCAGCTAGTCACTGGTTCTATGATGACTAGCTGTCCATGGAGATGGGGGTGGAATATACATCTGATCCTCACAGACAAACCTGTCCGTGTGTCCTCATAGGTAGCAGTGCCCTGGCCATCCTGCTGGTGTCCGTGTTTCTGGAGTCTGTGGAAAACAGATTGGCTAGTGAAGGAGAGGCAAGGCCCAGATCGCCACCTCTCTTGTCCACTGTACTCTCGACCTTCACACTGTTTAAAGACAAGCGCTTGTGCCTGCTGATGTTCCTGCCACTGTACAGTGGGCTCCACCAAGGGTTTCTCTATGGAGAGTACACAAAGGTAGGAGAAAGGAGCCCAGGGCTCATACTGTGCACCTGTGATCTACCTAAAGGAACCCGAGAGTGTCCTGAGACCAGTGGCCCAGGGGCCCTGGAGTGGGATCAGGTTCCCGGTCCTATAGCTGCTAAGTCTATGATTTGAGACACCCACCTCTGACTTCTCATCTGAAGGGAGAACTTCCTACCAGCCCGTGTCTTTCCCAGGAAGCACAAAACTGGGGAAAGGTAGCTGTTGCCAGCTGTGTGTAACGCTCGTCCATTCTGCTAAAGCGGTTTTCAAAGGTGTTAAATCGTTGAGTTGCGTTGAAATCCCTTCCCACGCCAGCTTCCACACCGTGTATTCCAGCCTAGAAACCGTGCAGCCTGCCGCCGGCTCTTCCACTTATGAACTTTCTTGTGCTCACGGAAGTTCTTTCACGTGGGACAACACAGGCAGTAGGGACACAAAGTGGGTTAGTCTCTATTGGCTGAATCACAACTGCTGTCTTCTGTGGGAGGGCTGACTTCAGGCTCTGTCTTTCTAAGGAATCCTAGAGCTGTGGAGGGAGGGAGCCACCTGTCCTAGAAGTCTTCTCCCTCCTGGGTGGGTGAGAGTCTTTCCCGGTACACTCTGGTTCATGGGGACCCTAGGGCAGCGGCAGGAGGCAGGAGGCGGGAGGCAGGAGGCAGGAGGCAGAGGCAGGAGGCAGGAGGCAGGAGGCAGAGGCAGGAGGCAGGAGGCAGAGGCAGGAGGCAGGAGGAAGGAGGCCGGAGGCCGGAGGCAGGAGGCAGAGGCAGGAGGCAGGAGGCAGGAGGCAGGAGGCGGAGGCAGGAGGCAGGAGGCAGGAGGCAGGAGGCGGAGGCAGGAGGCAGGAGGCAGGAGGCAGGAGGCGGAGGCAGGAGGCAGAGGCAGGAGGCAGGAGGCAGAGGCAGGAGGCAGGAGGCAGGAGGAAGGAGGCCGGAGGCCGGAGGCAGGAGGCAGAGGCAGGAGGCAGGAGGCAGGAGGCAGGAGGCGGAGGCAGGAGGCAGGAGGCAGGAGGCGGAGGCGGAGGCAGGAGGCAGGAGGCAGGAGGCAGGAGGCAGAGGCAGGAGGCAGGAGGCAGGAGGCAGGAGGCAGGAGGCAGAGGCAGGAGGCAGGAGGCAGAGGCAGGAGGCAGAGGCAGGAGGCAGGAGGCAGAGGCAGAGGCAGAGGCAGGAGGCAGAGGCAGGAGGCAGAGGCAGGAGGCAGGAGGCAGAGGCAGGAGGCAGAGGCAGGAGGCAGGAGGCAGAGGCAGGAGGCAGAGGCAGGAGGCAGGAGGGAGGCAGGAGGCAGGAGGCAGGAGGCAGGAGGCAGGAGGCAGGAGGCAGGAGGGAGGCAGGAGGCAGGAGGCAGGAGGCAGGAGGCAGGAGGGAGGCAGGAGGCAGGAGGCAGGAGGCAGGAGGCAGGAGGGAGGCAGGAGGCAGGAGGCAGGAGGCAGGAGGCAGGAGGCAGGAGGGAGGAGGCAGGAGGCAGGAGGGAGGCAGGAGGCAGGAGGCAGAGGCAGGAGGCAGGAGGCAGAGGCAGGAGGGAGGCAGGAGGCAGAGGCAGGAGGGAGGCAGGAGGCAGGAGGCAGGAGGCAGGAGGGAGGCAGGAGGCAGAGGCAGGAGGCAGGAGGCAGGAGGGAGGCAGGAGGCAGGAGGGAGGAGGCAGGAGGGAGGAGGCAGAGGCAGGAGGCAGAGGCAGGAGGCAGGAGGGAGGCAGGAGGCAGGAGGCAGGAGGGAGGAGGCAGGAGGCAGGAGGGAGGCAGGAGGCAGAGGCAGGAGGCAGGAGGCAGGAGGCAGGAGGCAGGAGGCAGGAGGGAGGCAGGAGGCAGGAGGGAGGCAGGAGGCAGGAGGCAGGAGGCAGAGGCAGGAGGCAGAGGCAGGAGGCAGGAGGCAGAGGCAGGAGGCAGAGGCAGGAGGCAGGAGGCAGAGGCAGGAGGCAGGAGGCAGAGGCAGGAGGGAGGCAGGACATCCCTCAGTTACCTTTAAGCCTTGCCCCGTCCTCACACAAGGAACATTTTTACCTCACCCTCCAGCCAGGGGTGGTGCTCCTGTCAGCAGGCAGACAGCAGGCATTCAGCTTCACCTGAATTCCCATAAACTGTATTCATCTCCGGACAAGTGTGCCTTGGGCAATATCTAGGTGTCCTGGATTCATCCGGTAGTACCACCATTTGGAGGGAGCTGATGGTGGAGGGAATCAGTCTTGGGTCTTTATTAAAGAAGGTTAGAAAAGGACCACACCTGGCAGCCAAGGAGAGGGGTACCAGCCAGGAAGGTGGGATGGCTCAGGCTCTTAGCACTCAAGGGAAGAATGATGGATGGCTGGCAGGACCCAAGGAGACCGTGTCTTGGCAGCAGCTGAGGGAACTTTAAGGACAGCTTCAGGCACTGCAGCCATATGCTGCAGGCTGAGGGGCTGAGGCTGTGGATGCAAGACGGGTCAGGGTAGCCTGGAATCACCCTGAGCCCACCTCTGCTTGTTTACCTAGATCACCCCCTGGTCCTGGTCCTGTTTGTGGCCTTTCGTGTCCACCTCACTGACTTCTCCATCGTCAGGTGACTCTCTGGAGTCACGCCTCTCATCATGTTCTGCATGTCCTCCTCTTCATCCTCCCTCTTCCTCTGCACCATTGGGCTCTGCAGCTGGCAGGAAACGCCCAGAACACCTCAGCATTGTGCATGGGCCTCCTGTCCCATCAGACATCACGTCGTTCCAGCCCCAGCCAGCTATGCCAATGCAGCCAGCCTCCTTGTTCCAACCTTTCGTCTAAGTGTCCTTGATTCTGCCAGTAATGGAGCCAAGTGTTGAGGCCGCCCAGTGGCCTCCCTAGCGGTCTATGGAGGTTGCATTTCCCTCACCTGTCCTTAGGCCTAATAGGAAACGATGGGACATGTCAGTGTCTTTGTTAACGCTCTATAAGATAGTGTCTACACCTTCTAGGGTGAAGAATGTGGGGAGGGGTTTGTCCAGATGTCTGTCCATTCTGGTTCAAAGCAGGCCCTCTTCCACATACCAGTGCTGCTCTCCCAGGCTGGGAGCTGGGAGCTGCAGTTCCTGGGCCACACCAGCATGTCAGCTGTCACATGGTAGCTGCAGACTGGAACCACAGCGAGGCCTGTACACGCCAGTAATGCAGCTCTGTGCTTCTTCCCAGTCTTACGCCACCTGTGCCCTGGGCATCCATTTCGTGGGCTATGTGATGATCTGCTTCTCGGCTGTCACCTCCCTATGCTCCCTGCTATATGGGAAGATCTCCAAGTACACGGGCAGGGCAGCACTCTATGTGACGGGTAAGTAGACACTCGGGTCAGCATATGCTCTGGGCCCATGTAAAGGGCACACAAAGGGCAGTGAGAGCCTCAGAAAGGGAAGCCCTGTAGGCAGCATGATTCCCTGCCTCCCATGATGCTCTCCTTGTGTCCCCTGACACCCTTTGCCTTCCTCCAACAAGGGGAAGTGTAACCAGCTTTCTTGGACTGCCAGGCCCAAAATGATGACACAGAGACTTCTTGTTCATTCTGAATGCTCAACCTTAGCTTAGGCTTGTCTCTAACTAGCTTTTAAACCTTAATTTTGCCGGTTTCTATTCATCTACATTTTGCCATGGGCCTTTTTACCTGTCTTTCATTTTGCACATCCTACTTTCTCTGTGTCTGTCTGTCTGGCCAGGTCCCCTTTTCTCTTTGCCCACCAGTCCCATCTGTCCCTCTTCAGCCTGGCTATTGGCCCTGGAGCTTTTTATTAGACCAATCAGGGGCCTTAGGAAAGCAACACATCTTCACATAGTTAAATAATCTGCTCACACGCCTGTGCTTCCTCTGCTCACACACCTGTGCTTCCTCTGCTCGCACACCTGTGCTTCCTCTGCTCGCACCTGTGCTTCCTCTGCTCACACACCTGTGCTTCCTCTGCTCACACACCGGTGCTTCCTCTGCTCACACGCCTGTGCTTCCTCTGCTCACACACCTGTGCTTCCTCTGCTCACACGCCTGTGCTTCCTCTGCTCACACGCCTGTGCTTCCTCGGCTCGCACACCTGTGCCTCCTCTGCTCGCACAACTGTGCCTCCTCTGCTCGCACACCTGTGCCTCCTCTGCTCGCACACCTGTGCCTCCTCTGCTCGCACACCTGTGCCTCCTCTGCTCGCAACCTGTGCCTCCTCTGCTCGCACACCTGTGCCTCCTCTGCTCGCACACCTGTGCCTCCTCTGCTCGCACAACTGTGCCTCCTCTGCTCGCACGCCTGTGCCTCCTCTGCTCGCACGCCTGTGCCTCCTCTGCTCGCACGCCTGTGCCTCCTCTGCTCGCACGCCTGTGCCTCCTCTGCTCGCACGCCTGTGCCTCCTCTGCTCGCACGCCTGTGCCTCCTCTGCTCGCACGCCTGTGCCTCCTCTGCTCGCACGACTGTGCCTCCTCTGCTCGCACGCCTGTGCCTCCTCTGCTCACACGCCTGTGCTTCCTCTGCCCACACGCCTCTGCTTCCTCTGCTCACACGCCTATGCTTCCTCTGCTCACACGCCTCTGCTTTCTCTGCCCACACACCCGTGCTTTCTCTGTACCATCCTGATTCTATGCGCTGTATGAAAGCATTAGAAAATCCGCAAGCACATGGGTACAGGACCTGAGGTCCCAGCCATCCCAGGCAGAGGGGACAGCCACCCACTGTCCTGTCTTGTGTCCTCTGACAGGTGCTACCATTCACCTCGTTTGCATTATCATCCTCCTTCTGTGGCGCCCGAACCCAGCCCAGCTGCCTGTCTTCTTCATCCTCTCTGGCCTGTGGGGAATGGCAGATGCCGTCTGGCAGACACAGAACAACGGTGAGTGCCCAGGACAGGCTCATGGTGCCTCAGTTTCCCTCGGTAAGCTCTCTTAAGGGTAGCAAGGCCAGAAGGCCGTCACTAAGATGGAAATCAAGGTCTCTGTGTATGTGTAGTTGAAGCCCCCAGTAGAAGGCAACTCTGGGGACAAGGGAAGTGAGAAGGAGACAGCCAGGTCTCAAGGACTGTGTTCTCATGTCTGAGTCCACACGATGCAGACGGAGAGGCGGGTGAGACCAGGGGCTCCACACAGCGTGGGGTGCCCTCGAGTACTCACAGGTGTGCACAGACAAGGAGCCAGAGGAGGCGATGGCAGGGAGGAACTATAGAGCATCCAGATAGGGACGCAGGATGGTAGCACATATATCACCCTGTATCCTGTTTCCTTGAGGCCGTAGAAGATGGAGACAGGGACACAGAGGAGGAAGATGCCTGTGGGCAGGTTAACGCTCCTGATGACAGTCAGGATCAGAAATGGAGGTGAGAAAGTCCTATAGACACCCGCAGAGCCAGAGATGGGGAGCGTGACCCCTTGACCTTGGAGAACTGACTAGCGGTAGAAAGTTGGAATAACTATGAAGAAGCCATGGTAGAAGCCATCCGGGAGAGACCTTTCCCCAGTTAGAGTGTGCGGTCTGGAGGTGAGCAAGACCAGCAAGGCAGGGGCATGACTGGACAGGAGGGCGGCTCGGCTCCAGAATGCTGTCTTACCAGGCCCAGGGGCTGCATAAGGAGGCTCCAAGAGAATCAGCAGGAGGGTCAGTGGTGTGACAATGGGTTATAGGAACCAGAGTGTTTGCACTGGATGTGCTGGAAGCTCTCACTTCTACCCTAGAGCAGCAGCTCAGAGGACTACAAGGGAGGGCATTAGGCGAGAAGGATATGGAATGTTGTGTGGATGGCAGCAGTGCAGGACAGGTGACAGGGTGTGTATTCGGGTGATGGTCATAAATGACATAATGAGGCCAAGGTCAGAACCCTCAGCCCTAAATGCCTAACGGCCTGGATTGTGCCCAAGGGGCAGGAAAGGAAGGGCTCTGTGTTCGGAATCTGAAAGGTCTTGGTGAGAGGCCTGAGGGAGCCCTGAGACGCATATGGTTCATAAGTTACTCCTTTCCCAGCACAATCAGGCTTAAACACTGGCAACACCTTGAAGTTAGGCTTGCCAGGGATGGGAGGCCCAGCCACTCTTTCTGAATCTGCAGCGTGTGGCCGCAGTGTGGCCGCAGTCGGTGGATCCGCATCCTGCAGAGCTTGTTCTTGCTCTAATCCCAGTGTGCTATTTACAAGAGCTGGGGGAAATGCCCTAGAGAAATCTAAAACAGTTGGATCCAGAGGGTCTAACTGACTCCATAGTGCGGTTGGCTTTAGTGGAGGCTGAACGAAATGGCCAGTGTGTGCTCGGCTGGGCTTTCATCTAGTTTTTTGTTTGTTTTTGACCAAAGTCAGTAACTAGGAACAAACAGCTAGACTTTCCATGGGCTGGGACATACTCCTGTTCTTAGGAATATATGGGTTCAGTGTGTGTGTGCGTGTGTGTGTGTGTGTGTGCGTGTGTGCGTGTGTGTGTGCGTGTGTGCGTGTGTGTGTAGGTGTATGTGTGTGTGCGTGTGTGCGTGTGTGTGTGTATGTGTGTGAGTGTGTGTGCGTGTGTGTGTATGTGTGTGTGAGTTGTGTGCATGTGTGTGCGTGTGTGTGTGTGTGTGCGTGTGTGTGCGTGTGTGCTTGTGTGTGATCAGAAACTCACTTTAGCTCTTCTCAGAAGTCCAGAATTAAAAGCCAGTGACATGGCAGATCAGCTAGTGACATTAGCTTATCCAGCCAACACCGGAGAGAAATCGCATCAAACCCCACATAGGCCTAAGAGTTCGCTGAAACACATGTGGACCCCATCCTCTGTGTGCGGACAACCTTCTGAACTCACTGAATTTTCAAAGCATTTACAAAAGCACAGAAGGCACCTGGATAGACAGCCCGCTTTATCCCCCACTCCAGCACAGTGGAAGCTTAAAATTATCACAGTAAAAAACATTCCGCTTTCTTTCTCTCTGAAATATATGCATAATCACTTTACTTCCCCCTTTCTTTATATGGACAGAAAACACCCAGAAAAGCACCTTTGTTAAACTATGAAAATTACCTAAGACCCAATATTTATGATATTATGAGCATTCAAGTTCGGTTAGTGTCTTGGACAATGACTCAGTTGAATAAGGGATGCTAATTTAAAATCACATAATTTCAATCCTTTTGTACAGGTAAGAGTGTGATGTTTGTTGTTAAAAGACAAACCAGTTTCTTCAAAAGTGTGTGCTTGCAGCCACCCCAGTGAGGAGTGTTGTTTTGTGCTGAGTTCCTGTAGCTGGCTCCACCCAGCTTCCCACAGCACAACACGCCCACACGGCATCCAGATGGTTGCCTGTCCCTCTTCGATGCGGCAAATGGCATGCAGTTTTGGTCACATCTCAAGAACAGTATCCTGTGGGGCAGGGGAGATGGCACAGTGGACCAGAACACTTGCTCCATGAACAACTCGATGAACCAAGACATTTAGATCTCCAGGCTGGAGCCTGCATCCCCAGCACTGGGAAAGGGGAACTGAGACAGGAGAATTGCTGACACTTGCTGGCCAGGCAGTCTAGCAGGGAAACCGAAAGATCACGTTCTAGTGAGAGACCCTGTCTTAGGGAGTAAGATGAGAGTGACTGAGCAGGATGCCCTCTGATTGCACACACATGCACATGTACACACAAAGGACAGACGTGATGGTATGTTCTCTTCTTATTCGTAGACATGAGTGAGCCCCCCCCCCCAACTGAGCCACCAGTTTTTAAACCTTTCAGTTTAGTGCTGTGGACTTAGACACCGGTTCCTCTGGCTGGGGCTGGGTGCCCCAGGGCTTGGGGGCTTCTGCAGCTTCCCAGTAAATCTGCACTTATCTGTTTATCCAATCTGACGACTGAAGGAGGATGGGTGCCGTTACTATGGCAACCCTCACCTGCCACTGCACTGCATGTAAGACATAGAACGCTCATCTAAAAATACACTCCGCCCCGTTGGCTGCTGAAGGGGCTAATTTCCAAGTTCACAAGGGCACGGAGTCTGACTTCTTAGTGCCCATTTTTCTTCCCAACAGATGAGACGCCTGTCAGTTCACTCAACATCTCCTCACCTAACGACTAGAATCAGGGTCTCGGTCACTTTAGCCTCGAGTGCCCTGCACCGCTGAGGCAGCCAGGTCAGGCTGCTGCTGAGAGCAAAAACAATAATTAATTCACAATAGCCTTATGTTTACAGACGAGCTGTAGAGACGGTACCAAGCCTGCATAGAGCCAGGGTCCAGCCCCCAGTATTCATCTTTCACAACCAGGGGAAGCAGGCTGCTATCAGGACATGGGTTCCCTGTGGCTCACAAAGGGTAGATGCCCTGGGATGGTCACCTCCTTGCCATGCCCCCTCACCCATCCGTCTAGATACTGCTGGCATGGGTGCCTATTTTCTCATGGACTTTTCCCTTCACTTGTCTGTCTGGTTGTTACCAGTGCGGACAAATGGACAGACATGACTCCTCCCTTCTCTGTCTAGCCATAGCTGATGTGAACACCTCTCCCTCAGGGCTGGTTTGAGGCATTCCTGAAGAGACGGTAGTTGCTCTGCCCAGATCCACAGGTCTTCTGCAAAGGCAGTTCAGGCTATGCACCCAAAATCCTTAGCTTCTCAGTTGTCTGGGACGCAGCTTCTGGTGGAGCTGTGTTCACAGAGAGGAAGGGACAGGGCCACTTCTGCTGGTCCAGTTCCCAGATGGATCAGCTTCAGTCTCCATAGTTATCAGTTCTAGATTTATGACTCTCCTGCCCTGGGGCCCTCCATCTAGTATGTCTCTACACTGGGTCCTCCATCCTAGGATCCTTCTATGTTGGGCCTTTCTACCCAAGATATTTCATTCTGGGGACCCCATCCTGTGTCATGGCATTCTTTATCCTGGGTCCTCTGTCTTAGGGTCCTCCCTCCTGGCCCATTATGGGAAGTCAAGCAGGGTTTCTAGGGGCAGTGCTGCTAGGATTCAGACATTATGCTGGCCCCTGTCACCTGGCAGGATGCACCCAGGGTCCTATGGTTGCTATGTCACTATGTAGTCTATATGCAGGTGCAAAGGTCCCTTTAAGAGACAAGCTCCACCTACTCTCTCTCTCTCTCTCCCATTTCTCTGAGGAGGCAGGTCACTGTCTCTCTGTCTCTATCTCTCCCTTCCCTTCCCCAATAAACTTCCTTCCAGTGTAAGCTCTGTCTGAAGGCATCTTTGTTCCCTGCCACGGAATCCACGGTCCCACCTCATGCTGGCATGTCGTTACACATGCAGGGGCTGAGGGTGGTCTTGGTGAAGGGGAGTTGTGTGAGTAGGAGCTGGCACAGCCATCTGGGGTGTGTACAGACCACAGCAAGTCACCAGGGCCTGTCATTTCCTCATCGATCCCTCCCCTGTGCTCCTGCCACTCAGCCATGTTATGCAATGGGATTCTTGCAGCTCTCATCCAGATCTATCAAAAATGCCCTGTCCAAAACAGGAAGCAAAAGTGACTTCATTCAGAAGCAGAAAAGCATCGGGCTGTGCGAGTTTTGAGTTTGCTGTAACCAATAAAAATTACCATAGGCTGGGGAGTACAATAAACATGGCTTCTCTCACTGTTCCCTCTGCCAGACCCCTGCTCAGGAGGTCTCAGGAGTGCACACATACACACATGTACAGAGGTGCTGTGTGACTATTTAAAATAGGAAATAAGAGACTGCTGAGGACATTAAAAAGGTAAGAGTCATACTAGGTGTGATGGTGCACACCTTCAATCCTAGCACTCAGGAGGCAGAGGCAGGCAGATCTCTGTGAGTTCAAGGCCAGCCTGGTCTAAAAAGCAAGTTTCATGACAGTCAAGGCTGCATAGAAGGGCCCTGTCTCAAAAGACAAAGATTAATCACACACCTTTAATCCCAGCACTTGGGAGGCAGAGGCAGGCAGAACTCTGTGAGTTTGAGGCCAGCCTGGTCTACAGAGTGAGTTCCAGGACAGCCAGGATTGTTTTGCTGAGTAACCCTGTCTCAAAATAATAATAATAATAATAATAATAATAAAAGTCACAGAACTAGTAATAAAGGCTTAGGAACTTTCAAGTGGCACTGACTTTGCTTCTAAACACTGGGCAGTGGGCATCACCTGCGAGGCTACTATTGTCACGTGTTGGTGGCATACCTCGAAAGGACAAATATGGGCTCCTGTGAATATAACTCATTACCCTATGGTCCTGGGGACAGGTGAGGAGCCCCACCTGGTCTTACACTGTGAGGGTGAAAGAAACTCCATTTATGCCAGGCATCCATGCTGGTACCCACCAGCCATTTGTCTCTGACTCCAGCCCCTGGATGATAAGTTCCCAGTAACCTTGACTCAGTGACCGCCACCCAAAACTGTACAGCCGTGGCCATCTACTTGCTACAAGACTAATTGCTTTTTTGCTTCTGTAACTTTCTTATGCATACAGCCAAGGATTGTTTTGAGCTGCCTTAACCCCTTCACTTCTCAGATCAGCCTGGTTTTTGCTGGCTTGCATAGATGCGGGGTCTTCTTATGCCCTTCCATTCCTCCCTTAGCTCTCCTCCTCATGGCAGTCTCAAATTTGGCGCAGAAATGGTTTATCCTGCCAGAAGCTAATCAATAAATCTTTTAACTATTGTTGGGTTGAGTCTATGATCTTTTCCATGGGGTCACAAACTCCACAACAACACACCATGAACTCTTTCTTTATCCTTAGAGGAGGCCAGCTCCCTCCAGCAGCGACTGCTCTGCGTCTCCATGTTCCCTCTCCTGTGCTGCCCACTGCTGGAGGCCTCACCTAACTGTCAGCACAATTATGTGCTATTTTGTTTTTAAGAAAAAAAATCCAGATTTTTTTTTTCAAGAAAGCTGGCAGTGGCAAAGTCTCTGTATCAGGATTATTTTAATGGACCGTGTTGCGTGTCTCTGTGCTTATTGGTGGTGTATGTGTGTGCACGTGTTTTGTGTATGTATGTGATATCTGTGTACGAATGCACATGTGTGCATGTGTGTGCACGTGTATGTGTGTGATATCTGTGTACGAATGCACACGTGTGCACGTGTTTTGTGTATGCATGTGATATCTGTGTACGGAAGCACACGTGTGCATGTGTGTGCACGTGTATGTGTGTGATATCTGTGTACGAATGCACACGTGTGCACGTGTTTTGTGTATGCATGTGATATCTGTGTACGGAAGCACACGTGTGCATGTGGAGGTCAACACTGTCTTAGTCACTCTCTATCTTAATATTTGAGACAGTATCTCAAAAATTCAGCTGGGTGAGCTGGCTAGCAAGCCCCAGAAATCCTCCCTTCTCTCTCCCAGGACTAGGATTATAGGGCAGTGCCTGGCATTTTCTGCGGATACTGGGAGCCTGCCCTCAGACTCTCCCACAGGCCCGAGTCCTGTTTGGCATCTTATACAACCTTTTCACTCTCGTCTCTCCTCCACAGCTCTGTACGGCGTCCTGTTTGAGAAGAAAAAGGAAGCTGCCTTTGCGAACTACCGCCTTGGGGAAGCCTTAGGGTTCGTCATCGCCTTTGGGTATAGCTCGTTCCTGTGTGTGAGGACCAAGCTCTATATTCTCTTGGGCATCTTGAGCCTGACCATCACGACTTACGGGACTGTTGAGTACCTGGAATCCAGGGCTGCTGGCAAGGGCCCTCCTGCAGGAGAGAAAAGCGAGGCAGGAAAAGAAGAAATGAAGACAGAGATATGAGTTCAGCCGAGCCATGGCCAAAACTTCAGCCCAGGTCGGCGGAGGAGGTCTGTATGGCAGCACTCAGTAGGTAGACACCCGCCAACTGTTTCAGCAGTATCTGGACATTCTGGAGAGTATTTTTTTATGGATTTTTCTCAACTTGACAAATTTCCAGTCCATTTTTCTACTCGCAGAGATCAAGGGTATATATGTAACAGGCTGGGAACACAGCGTAGCGCTGGGGTGCTTGCTCAGCACGCGAAAGGCCACGTGTTCAGTCCCCACTACCACAAAAAGAAGGCAACACCTGTACAGGGGCAAAGGAGATGGCTCAGTCCGTACAGTACTTTCCAGGCCAAGCATGCAGACATCAGCTTGAACCCCGACACACGTTAAAAAACAAAGGCAAGGATTGGTAATGGCAATGCACACTTGCCATTGTGCGTCCTACACTGGGGAGGCAGAGGCAGAGAGGTCCATGGAGCTCATTGGCTCTTCAGGCTAGCCAGATCCATGAGCTCCAGGTCCAGTGAAAACCTTACTGAGGTTAACAGAAACTGGGGTCACCTAATGTCAACCTCTGGCCTATATACACTACACACACACACACACACACAACATCACATCACATATACACACATGGGCACCAAACACACACACACACACACACACCACATATACACACACTGGCACCACACACACACACACACACACACACACACACCACAGACAGACACACACACTACACGGAAGTATCTGTTATAGATATTAAATGAAACATCAAAAGTTTCCAGAGTAGATTTACCTTAGTTTTTGCTGTTGTGTTTAATAGTTGAAAGAACTGTACTCTTACAAACACCATAATTTTACAAACGAGTCAACATCTAATGCCATAGATTTTACAAATGGACACAAAAGCCAACTGAACAAAGCTCACAGGGGTTAGCCACTCCGCAGCGCATGCCTCTTGAAATTCCCTGGAGGCTTCTCTAAATAAAAATAGTTTATGCCTCTGTTTCCTGCCTAAATATGTGTTCTAAACACTCACATATATCTTTCTCTCTCTCCCTCTCTCTCACACACTCACACACACACACACACTCACACACCACATGCACACATGCATGAGCGCACACGTGCACACACATGCGGGCTTGCCATGTCAGGATTATGCATGTTAGAGGCCATTGGAAGAATTTCAGATGGGATGCTTGATGTTCAGTTATCACCGTTGTGAAGTCAAACAATTCATGCACAGAGCCTGCCAGGCGCTCATGCTATGGCCATGTGTGTTACCTGTGGGCACATGTAGTCCTCTAACCACCATCCACGTTCATCATCCCTGTGGCCTCTTTCCATTCTTCCTCCTCTTGAACACTCTATCGGGGCAGAGTTGCCATTTTTCCACACACACTTTTTTCTCTGAGTCCTTTGCCATAGAATTCTGGATCCCTGCACCATTGCCAAGACTCCTGTGTGGTTTTGACATGTCTTTCTTCTTCTCTCTTTACCACCACATGGGATTCTGGCCATTTCTGAAGAAGTCAAACTTACGTAGAAGGCATTCAATAGGGGGCAATGGACACTTGGCATTCCCTCCAGCTTTGAGGTTTAGGATTTTGTAGACGAGTCTTGCGTGTGAACAGGCGTGAGGTGAGCTTGATTCAGATCTACCTGTGAGAGGAGGGTAGGAAATGCATGTATGTAAACCCGAGGAGATCACAGAACATAGATTTGAATCATAAAGTCCTCTGGTATGGGTCTTAGATGGAGTTGCAAGCAGTGCTAATTTTATTTTATTTTTTTAGGGGAGCCTGGGAGGAAGTAACGCAGACATCACCTGGTGCATTGGGTGACTTCAAACACAGATATCTCAGCTGTGTGGGTGGGCTAGCCTGGTTTAAGAGGGTGGATCGTCCGTATGTCACAGAACACAGTATTCCTTACAGAGTAAACTTTCTGTCTCCTTCCAATGAGCTCTCCTCCTCCAGCGAGCACCCTGACAGGTCACCAGGGACAGAGGAGCTGCAAAGACTTGCCTGCACTACACAGAAGTGTACTCTAGCCAAAGGTGTTTCATGCATGCACGATCTCCAGCCCCTGAGTCACCGAGTGACATTCTGAGAATGGTATCATTAAGAGAAGCAAGTTTGGGGGCATTGACAGTGCACATGGAGACATGGATCTCACACTCTGCTGATGAGAACCCCAGTGCCCGCTGTTCTTGCTTTGGAAAGCCTTCCTGTCTAGGGTCCCTCCTCTCTCTCTCTCTCTCTCTCTCTCTCTCTCTCTCTCTCTCTTCTCCTTCCTCCTCCCCACCATCTCCTCCCCTGCCCTCTCTGGGCCCAGTTTCATAAGCAGTGGCCCCTCTGAGATGGAAGCCTGCTTGCTCTTAGTCTGTCTTCAGTGCAGGGAATGTAAAACAGGCTCACATGTCACACAGGACTGTAATCACAGGAACAAGTTAGGAGGCTCATTCCTTCACGTGACAAGAGTTTAATTAGCATTGCCTTAGACTCAGCCCGGGAAGCAGGGACAAAACCAGATTCCACTCTGGAGAAACTTCTCTTGTACACAGACAGTGGCAACTGAGCCAGAGGGCAACTGAGGCCACTAGGCAGTGGGGCAGGAAAGACAAGAAGGGTCAGCACCAGGGTCAGAGACAGAGGGTCAGGAAGACCCTGAGGGATGGCGTTCACGAATGCAGTGCCTACCCTGCAGGGTCAAGGTAAGTGGTCAGGTTTGGGATGTACTTTCTAGATAGAGTCTGCAGGATATGGTGATGAGAGAAAAAAAACAAAAAAACCCCAGAAGGTATGACCTGTCCCTACCTTACCTGGAGAGTGTCTGACTCATGGGTAAGAAAACAACATCCGGGCACAGGGTGTGTCAATTCTTTTTTTATTTTATTTATTTTTTATTTTTTTGAGTTTTATTTATTTATTTATTAAAAATTTCCACCTCCTCCCCTCCTCCTATTTCCTCCCCCTCCCCCCACTCTCCCTCCCTCTCCAGTCCTACAAGCAGTCAGGGTTCCCTGCCCTGTAGGAAGTCCAAGGTCCTCCCCCTCCATCCAGGTCTAGGAAAGTGAGCATCCAAATAGACTAGGCTCCCACAAAGCCAGTACATGCAGTAGAATCAAAACCCAGTGCCATTGTCCTTGGCTTCTTAGTCAGCCCTCATTGTCAGCCACATTCAGAGAGTTTGGTTTGATCACATGCTTGTTCAGTCCCAGTCCAGCTGGCCTTGGTGAGTTCCCATTAGATCAGTCCCACCATCTCCGTGGGTCGACGTACCCCTCGCGGTCCTGACCTCCTTGCTCATGTTCTCCCTCCTTCTGGGTGTGTCACTTCTTATACATTGCTGACATTCTATATATTTTTATTTTTTGCCTGGACAATATCGATAGAGAGTGAGGCTGGAATTCACAGGAGAGATGACGATGTTGGATGTTGCCATTGCAGAGGTGACCAGTAACACACAGAAGAGCCCAACTCTGCATGGTGGGGTGGAGGAAAGAGGCATTCTGGGGTCTGCATCCTCGGGCCTTGCTGGTTAATGAGGGTCAGGAGGAATGGGAGAAACCAGGAAAACATCAGGGAAAGGAAAACCAGGGCCCAGGGACGGACCAGGCTCTGACTATGACTGCGGTTCTTGTGCTGGGACATTTGGTTAGAGGAGGAATGAGGCCCATGGCCTGTACGAGCACAGGACGACTCCATGTGGATGATGGGACAGGAAGCATGGACTCTCTGTTGTGCTGAAATACGACATGAAAGCAATGACATTTTCTGGAACTTCAAAGTCATCTCTGTCCCCAAGAGTCTTCCCAGCCAGGTGACAAAGCCCACCCTAGGCACAGCGCCTGCACCTCGGGAGAGATGGACTTTTGTGTATCGTCCTCGTCCAAGGACTTAAAACAGATGTGGCCATTTTATAATCATGGCAGAGACACATGTAATTAACACAGAACAGACAGGCCTAAGGGGCCAAGGAGTGCTTATCTTTGGGGAGATGGTGGGGAGGGCTCTTGGGGCTCTGCTGGGGCCAAGCATTCTGTCTCTTGCACAGAAGAACTTAGTTATATGAGTTCAGAAGGCGATGCTAGGGATGGATTTGGGCCACGGTGGGCACACCACAACTTTACCTCCTTCCACGGGACAAGTCAATGCTTCTCTGGGACTGCTCAGCAGCCACAAGACCAGACTCGGGGTGGCTGTTACAGGGCTACCACATTCTTCCCAGCCTTCCCATGAGGGTATGTGGGCACCCAGGCCAGGAGAGAACTGAATCAGAACGAAACCCAGCAGGAATCAAGAGAGACCCAGCTCCCAGCCAGGCAGTCTGGAACTTGTGAAAACATGGTGCTCAGAAGATGTATCTCCATGTCCAAGTGCTCTTGGCAATGGCCTAGGGTGGTCCCCCTCCCTCGGCTCTGATGTTCAAGCAAAAAGCGAACACAGCTTCTAGTAGCTCATCCTCTCAAATGGAGGGGAAAATTAAAGACTGTAGAATAAATTGAGGATTTCCAGGTCACTAAAATAGCTAATCCAGACCCAGAAACTGCCTTGCTCTGCTACCTCCTGGACTAGATACACTAATCCAAATAATATATGTCAAACCCAGTCTCCTGTGTATGCCCATGAAAAGCACAAACTTAATTATACTTCATTTTTTACAGAATTTACTGGCATCTAGAGCTGTAAGATAATGAATAATTAATAATAAGAAAGAAAAATGACTTGAGGGTTGCATACCACCAGCCCTGCTAGAGTTCAGCCAGCATCTTAGGTATGACTTAGTGTATCTGAAATACATTAACAGTTAATCAACAGTCAGCGGTGCTGGCAACTGGGTGGGCTGATGGCCCACTGAGAAGGATTGCCCACTCAGAGCAAATTATTAGATGAGTCCTCTGGCCCCCAAGGAGATTCACTGCGTTGGCAGTGCTCAGGCCCCTGTCGTGGACGCTGGAAGGAGTAACAACAGCCTTAGCTGAGGGAGGAGTGTGGTCAGGATCGCTGGAGCTAGCAGAATAGTAAAGATTTATTCTAGAAACCCATCTGCTTTTGTGGATAAATACTATACTGTTTCCTGGTCCATAGCACAAAGAGATCCCAGGAAGCCAAGTCCCACCTCCAGAGGAGGCTAACGCCTTGATCGTGACAGGTGGGTCTCAGAGTCCCCAGGCAGTGACACTGAAGTTCCCAGGGCACAAATGAGCCCCTCTGGCACTCAGCTGCTAGGATCCCGGCTGCCAGTCTTCTCTGAGGTAGGGAAGGTCTTCCCTTTGTGAGGACAGTAGACTGCATTGCTAAGCAACAAGCACTTCTGCCATCCTGCCCACGTCCACCTAGTGGTATAGGGGACAGCACCCACTCTTGGCGTCTGGACCCGATGAGAGCCATTCCTGTACTTTTTAGGTTGGGTGTGGGGACAGATCAGCAGAACCTTCTGGAGAGGCAGAGGCTGGTCAATGAGTATGTACTGGCCTGCACAACACCGCAAACCCGAGTAAGGGCCTTAGCCAGAGAGGTAGACTGAGTCACCCAGGCTATGTACCTACAGGCATGCTTCAACCATAAATATGCATCTCCAGGATGCC